AATGGTGGTGAGGAAAAAATAAATAAATAAAACTTCTAAACAGGTACACTAAACAAGGCAGAAAAGTCTACTCAAGCTTGCAAAATCTAATTCACAAATACAGGATTAAGAATTTGAAAACTTTAAGAAAATAATAAAATTTCTTGTTTCTAATTTGTGCCACAATAATTACAATATTGAAACAGACATCAAGAATGGTCAAGGTCGTTTAATGATTGCTTTGTTCACCACTAGAATCATTGTTTTTGATTTTAAAAATTCCGTTTTTCGTTATCCAGTTTTCTTTTTCCAAATGTTTATAAAAAAAAATAAAAAAACAAAGTTTGAACTGTATAAATTATCGTTAGTGTACTTTGTTATGCTGTCTTGGATGTTAAGTATTTAATACATAACTAATTAGGTAAATAAGTGAACTTTCTAAATCAATATACTGCAATTATATCTTAATTAAAATTTATTAGCCCCTATACTTATTCATTATACAAACTTATTGTAAACTATTTGAATTATTTCTTTATACATTGCCCATAATAATTATAATAAACCTACATAACCATTAATTTGAAACATAAACTGAAATAATAACACCGAAACTTAGTAGATAATTCTTTCTCACACGAACTGTCATAAAATTAAGTAGTTTCATTATAAAGTTTAAAATCCGAAAGTATTTAGTGTCAACGAAACCAACATAACAGTTCTTAATCTGCATAGATCTTTCCTCATTCTTTCGTCATCTCATCATAGCATCCTTACAATTCCAGATATTCCGTATAATGAAATAAAAATGTAGCAGGAAAATATAAGTCTTAACCCAGTTTATATTGAAGCTCGCTACATATCACCTGACCAGAACGATTTATATTCCAGCAACAAAAGAGATATCAAAAGCATTGTCCATTGAATTACAAATTGCAAAGACCTAGTTTTCGACTTCCCTAAGAAATCCTTCTCTGGCCTTGAACTATAATCAATAAACTCACTTTCCGGTTCGTAGACGCCCCTGCCCGGCCCCCGGATCTGCTCATTAACAAAATTCGTTGACTTAGGGACGTTCAGTGCCGATCGGATGCCGACGGAGGAGCCGTCCAGGTGACCCGGCCCGATTTTGGGCACGTGGCTGTTGCAGTAGACCTCCTTGTCCTCCTGCCGGTGCTGGTTGTTGTAGTAGGTCTTGAGCGTCAACTTGGTGCCACAAACCGCGCACTTGAAGCATCCACTGTGGAAAAACGTGAAGTCCTTTAAAGGTCCCACTCGGTCCACTTGGTACACGGTTTCGTTACACCGGAGACAGGTGCTCTCGTAGAAATTCGGCCGGTACATGGCCTTATAGTTGTGTAACATCGCACTGGAAATGGAGACTTCGACGCTCGCACAGGACAGGAACGCACTCGATCACTTGGATTTTTCCGCGCAGGAATCACTCACCGGAGCCATGTTGCAGCAAAACTGACTTCCCCGCGCCTTCCGTTCACCTGTTAGAGACGTGCGAAGAGCGAACGAAGCGATTGAGGGCTGCCGAGGAGACCGAAGTGGGGCGATGCGAGAGGATCCTGTCGAGGTTGGAGTACGCCTCCAGGTGTACCAGCAGCCCACATACCACTGCCATTCCTTGCACACCTAGCTTACATCACGCGGTCACCTGTTTGCTAAATATGCCGAGTTTCTGGAGAAGAAATGGGGGCGCTAAAAACGGTTTTCTAGAAGGGGATTAAAACTTTTAGCGGTCTTGCAACGTGGGGGAAAAACTGAAATTGGCAAATTCTTCACATTTGTTGTTTTACTATGATTATAATTTATTCTTTAATAATGTTATTACAGCAGGTATTATTAAGGCGCTGATTTCATTAATTACGTTTATACATTTTGCACAGAACGAAAAATCTAAAAGATAAACAAAATTTGGAAAAAATATGTAGGTATAATAAAATTTATATTTACCATAATAAGTTTATGACTTTTGACAATATATTTTTTACTAATAATCAAATATTTAATTAAATACATTTGATTTTATATATTATGCATGTACATACATACAGGGTGTCAATTTTAAAACTCGCAATTGCCAATATCTCTAAAACTAAAAAAGTTATTGAGAATCACTCAAAACCGTTTCGATAGTTTTTAGGGGGAATCAAAATGGCATGGTAAGTGACGCTCCTCCACCCACCCTTCAAGCCACAGCCACCTTAAGTTTTAAATGGCACGACCCTACTTGCGATACATCGTTGGAAAGCCCATAACAAGCGCTATTCAAAAATGTCATACAACAGCCTATTTGGTAAAGTTATTTTTCCAATTATTCAAAAACGAAGACGTTAAATTTTCATTTTTTTACTTTATTCAAGGGTGGGTGGAGGTGTGTCACTTATCATGTAATTTTAATTCCCCCTAGGAACCACCAAAACGGTTTTGAGTGATTATTAATAACTTTTTCAGTTGAGAGAAATTGCCGATTGCAAGTTTTAAAATTGACAAATGTATAATATACACCATATTATACACATTGTGAAAAAGTGGATCGTTACATTTGAAAAAATAATCGTGAAGAAAAAAACTATGTCTAAACATCTCAACCGTCATAATAATAGTTAAATGATGATTCACTCTTACGTTTTCTCCTAAATAACAATGAGGTTACTTTTTGGTCACACCGTGTAACAGTTTAATAACTGTGTGAGAAAATTACTAACAAACTTTCCACTTGAAACTGTTGAAATATTTATTTCAAATATGTAAATAGGTTAAATCTTTTAAGTAAATAATATGTTTTTGAAAAAAAAAATGTTTTACAAAAAAAAACTGTATTTTTTATTTTCATGATGTGTTTTAAGCTTTAGCGTAAAACAAATACTCTAGGTATAGGGGCGGCAATACAGCATGCGCCAGAACTCGTGCCCCAGAGAAAAAGGCCACGTAAGGTAAGACACCAGGAACACGGTAAAAATGTTAAAAAAATTCTATCTATAAAAATTTCGAAGTTTTGAGAGTTTAAACTTTGCACTTTGATTCTATTTATTTGTGTTGGAAAAATAATTTTCCAAGTTTTTTTGCTACAGACTATTAGAAGAGGAAACAAGGAAGCTGTATCCTAAACTTTTATTGACAAAATTTTTGTACCTTTACTAAATAATTATAAAAAACATATACAAGATCATCAGTATCATTAACTTTTAAAAAATGGTGTACAACTAATTTCGATCTCAAAAAAAAATCCATCGAAATTCCTGTAATTCCAAAAAAATCACCAAAATTCCAATCATTTTTCAATAATGCATCGTAATTCCATTATTTTCAGATTAATTTCTATATTTACAAATTAAATCCTATATTTCTAAGAAATTCAATGTAATTTAAAAAAAAAATTTCCTTTGATAATTGCAAAAAGAATTCCAAAACAAATCCAGTAACTCCAAACAATCCAAAGATAACTTCAATAATTCTAAACAATTTCCATAAAATTACAAAAATTTGTACAACTAATAACGGAGTTAACGGTCTCCTAAGATACATACAGGGGAGTCATTTATAATAAAGACTCTAACCGATTTTCAGACGCAACCCAAAATGCATTCTCATAGATAACTTCGTTTTTGTTGTGTTTGCGATATTTAAATTATTAATTTTAAATCAAAGTGATTGTTGATATGTCATGCATAAGATTTGACAGTGTCATCAATTTCACTTTTTTCCCTTTGAATTTAAAATGTAGTCAAACGACAAAAACACTAACATAATCTTGGTATGTGGAGAATGCTATAAAAAAGCTGTGGGTAAATCTTGACCGACAAAAGTACTTCGTAGGACGCCAAGTTATAAAAACTATCAAAGCTATCGCAGATATCTATGTTTATGAATTTGAAAATTTTGAAATAGTACATCAAGTAACGCATAATGGGATTTGAGAATGTATTTTGGGTTGCGTCTCAAATTGGTCAAGGTCTTTATTATACAGGGTGAGTCATATATAATAAAGATCCTTCTAACGCAACCCAAAATACATTTTCAGATACCACTATGCGTTAATTAATGTTCTGTTTGAAAATTTTCTAAGATATAAACAAAGATACCTGTGATAGCTTTGACAATTTTCATAACTTGGAATCCTATGGTGTACCTTTGTCGATACAGATTCAGCCACAGCATTTTGTGGCATTCTCCATTTGTCAAAATCAAATAAGTTTTTTCGTCGTTTGAGTACATTTTGAATTCAAGGAAAAAAGAAAGTGGAATTTTTGACACTGTCAAATTTAATTAATGATATATCAGCAATTACTTTGATTTGAATTTAATAAACAAAATTTTTCAAACGTACAAAAAGTATTGTTGACTGTGAGAATGTATTTTGGGTTGCGTATAAAAATCGGCCAGGGACTTCATTATAAGTGACTCAGCCTCTGTATGTGACTAACGCTCTGTTAAACTTTTAAAGTTTTTCCATAACATTTTTTTACGCCAGATTTTCTAAATTAGCTTATTTGAATTTTGTATAAGCAAGTGTGTAATTGTCAGTGATAATTTTAAAGGTTGTCAATAAAAAACATGCAACTTGTTATACACTACTGTATGGTTATTTGCGGATGCATTTTTTCTCCAGGTGTTTGAATTTAATTCTATTGTACTGTAGTAAATAATTAAAGAAATACGTTTTAGTACAGAGCATCTTAACTCTCGGACTTAATAAGATAATAAGTTTTATTTATTTCAGGTTTTATTGATAATGTTTGAGTACGTACTTTCAGCTTAGGGGTGGTTTTAATTAAAATCAACGAATTAGCAGCTTAACCGCAATTGATTACAGCAAAATGTGCTTTTTCAATTAATTTTTGTCTATAGAGTTTAAATTTTATTCATTTACTCTTTTATTGTATATTTTCGCTGGCTTTGCTTTCATTTTTCAATCCATCAGGAACGTACCCTCAACTTAGGGGTGGAATGGGTTAAAGTAAAAGTCACTAAATACTAAATTTTGTGTATTGGCAACACATTTATTAAACAAAATTAGATACAATTTACAAATAACACAATTAAGTAATGGCTTAAATCACTCTTTATATTATAGTCAAAATAATTGCAAATTTATCTGTTTACAAAAAATGTATTTAGGTCGTGTTAATCTCAAAATTTGATTGGCTGTGAGAGGGTGCCTACCCTAATCGAATCTCGCGTCCATTGAATAAAAAAGGGGTGCCAACTTGTGCTTTTGACGTGTCGTTGGTAATCCACTGCTTTGCAATTTTTCTATAATAAAATAATTCCCTTTTAATGATGTCGAGTGTACCAGTTTGGCCCCGTTCGCCCCCATCTCAGTCGTCATGACTCTCGTCCCCGCACACCCTTGAAGCGTCGAAAGTGGGGTAGTCGTAGCGCGTCCGGCCGCATTTAGTAAACATGGCGCGGTGTTTGCGTCTTGTTTGGGGTGACCGCCTTGGATGGTAAACGCCGTTCACGCAGGTAAGCCACCCCGTGCTAGAGGCCCCACTCTGACGCTGCTTTCCAGGTCAGTAGTGCGTTTTCGGGTGGAGAAGCTGGCGAGTCATGTGTCCGCATTGAGGAGTTCGCAGAGCCGCGCGGTATGGATTGGTGTGGGGCGAAGCCTCGCTTCTAGTGGCGGAGTGACATGCAGTCTGAGCCGGGCCGATACATCAATTCAGTATCTGATCTGCTTTACAGCACCGACGAAATTGAATTTCTGCTCGACGACATCAGAGACCTGGAGCCGACAAGTTGCAAGCCTGAAGACATTCAGGTACTGAGCAGGGCAGGGGCATGACTCGAAAGGGCTCTCCACGTGCTTGGCGCGACGCAGTATGCTTGCAAATTCGGCCAATAAGGAAGGAAGTTTGCATACAAGTTTACTTACTGAATTTTATTAGTATCGGAATAGCTAGAGAAGAAAATATTCCTTAAAAACTTATTTCAAAATTAGAAATAAAATAACTCTAGTAATAATAAAAATATAGTTCATAAATAATATTGCACTGGTGATTTAAAAGTGTCGAACCATTTTTTGGGCGGTAATAAAGAACATCCACTGTGTTAAAAGTTTCCATGACAAAATAATTTTTTGAAGCTTTTTTAATGCTTCAAAGCTTCAAAGATTAAATTTTTGATTAAGTTATGTGCCGTTCCGATTAATCTTGAATTTAGTTAGCGGAAACGACAGATCTTCTAAAACTGAACAGATACCTGTTGAAAGTTCTTAAGAAAAGTTGTTTATAATCAACATGTACCAAATTTCAAAATAATCGGCCAACTATGATTTTTCATTTTCTTGTTTATTAATTCGCAAATGCAAAGATTAACAGTATAAAAAAATTACATTCAGATTATAGTACTAAATAAAATACCACAGAAAAAAAGGAAAATAATAGTTAGAATAGGGGCGTAAATTATGTTGATTCTAAACAACTTTTCTTAATAACTTTTTGTTTTATTTGTTACATAAAAGGCCCTTTACTCTATAGAAAACTAGTTTTTTTGAAAATTGTCAAGGCATACTTACTTGATTTTTCAAAACTAAAATTATGTTAGAAATTAATCATTAACCAAGCAAGGCTGAACCCCAAAAAATGAAAATTTAAATCGAATTTTTTTTTATCTTACAAGAGTCGTTTCAACTATACGAGGGGACACTGTAGAAATATCTAAAAATATTTAAAAAAGTTTTATACAGGGTCAGTCACAGGAGAGTTACTTCTGAAGTTATTTGGGCAGCAACCCATTTTACAATTTACATAGGCGTCTAGCTTCCTTATTTTTAAAAATCATAAAATTGAATCCAAGAATTCTTTGCATGTTTTTATTTTGACATTTTGACACGAAAAAGTGGGCATGCTCTTAATCCAAGGAGAATGCAAGAAAAATGCTCTTGCGGCAGATGCTCTGTATTTGGAGAGGTAACCAAATCGAATGCATCCGGTTCCTGAAAGATTTAGAAAACTGGAAGCCAAGTTACGATAAGATTGACCTTCAATGAAAGACCCCGTCAGAGGACTGCTACTGACCCGCAGAAAATTAAATTAGAGTCCTTCAAGCAGTAGACAATTACTTGTCATTTTGACGACTTCACTCATTTTCATCCAGCTCACATTGATTACTAAATTAATTTAAATAAAATATTATATCCAGTTACATACGCTAAAAGTATTTTTGGTTGCAAACTGATTAATTTTCAAAGTAACTCTCCTGTGACTGACCCTGTATGTAGGTTTCAAAGGGGAGGGAATTCTACACCTTTCTAAAACGTAAATGTTGACAAAAAATTTTGGAAGTAAATATTCAAATATTCACATCTCTTGATTAAAAAATATACATATAGAAACAAGTCTCTCAGAATATAGGTAAAAAATTGTATGAAACAGATCGTATTAATAAATACTCGTAATATGGCATACTTTTATTATTCCTGCGTTTTGGCTAGTTTTCCAAAAACAGAGCTTCCTTATTGGTCGTTTTTGCCGAAGGTCTTTTTATGCGAAAATCTGTCCACTGAATTTTAGCACTAGTTTTGGTTTAAGAGCACCGCCGATTTCTACGTGAATGTGATTGGTTTGCAGGAGCCGGATGGTATGAGTTGTGTGTTGCAGGACTTTGAGATAGCGGGCAGCAGGACGGGGGCCCTGAGCGCGGATTGTGCTGGAGGTTGCGAGTGCGAATCACCTCTGGGCACCGTTAACTCATGGGACTCGCACTCTCACTACCGCCGACGGGTCGCCTCGCCCGATCTGTCCCTATACTCGGGGGTTATCGTCTACTGCGACCACACTCATCTCAAGACGCCCACGGGAATAGTCCGCATACTTCTACTGGTAAGCACAAATTTTGACGTTTGATCGCCACCAACTGTGAATAGCTGAATTGCACTAGGTCATTAATGCACTCATTTGGAGACTTTAATGGCATCGTAATTTTAAAACAAAATAAATCTTTTTTCATTTCCCGACACTTGTTAATATTTCAGGTGACCACAATCGCCTGTCTTACATGCCTCTGTACGTCAGGAACAGTAAAAGTAGGCCTATTTATGCTTCCGCTGGTCGGACGATTGCGGCTGATGATGTTCGTAACATTACTGAGTATTTTCATCACCTGTCTTCTCCTCTTTCTTGATATTTCTCATATCGTTTATTTGTTCCCATTTAATTGGGGCAAAGTGGTAAGTAAATGAAAAACGATTATGTTTTCATACAAATGGATTTTTTTAGAACGCTTATTTGTACGTCAGCCTTAGTGTTCTATTTCTCGTAGCATCGTCGTTAATTTTCCACACGATATTCTTATCAGAGGCCTTTTACTGGGTCCCGAGGTGGACGCACCATCAATTGCTGATTACGGGGGTAAAAATAAATAAAAATACCTCCACGCTAATGTGAACGAAATTTTACATTAGTTGGAATAAAATTGTCCGGAAGTTTCGTTCACCGCGTTAGCGTGGATAAATCCCTGAAAAGTAACTGCAAATTAATTATTTTTGTTGCTTTTCAGTGTCTGGGGTACCTGTGCTGCTTTCAGTCGGCCATCTTGTCGCTGATCCAGAAGTGTACCATAGGACACTATCAGCCGGTGGCCGAAGACCCCAGCCTAAACCTGCAGGAGCGACAGACCTCGCTGGAAGAGTCGCCCGAGCATAAGGCGAACCAAACAACGCACAATTACAAGCCTATAGTCAGCTACCCCGTGGCGTCGACGTCGCGTCAGGACGCCTCGAACTACCTCGATGACGTCCAGCCGTGCTCGTCTAAAAGTTCCGACCCGTACAGGGTCGCATGATATTTGACTTAAAACTTTTCTAAATGCCATCTGTGTTTATCGTGCAGTGAATGTGCAGATTCGACAAGTGTGGATAGATAGTCAAACACCAGTTAAGAAATATATCATTGTTTCAATTTGTTTTGAATTTTTACACGGCATGTATAAAAGTGTATAGACAAATAAAAATATATTCCAAATTGTTGCAATATTTGCAAATAGTATACGGATCCTGCAGCAAGTTCACTCGTTCAGAATAGGCAAGAAAAGAAGTTTATTGTAAATAGTTTTTTTAGCGTTTTTCAAATTTAGTGTTTATATTCTGTACAGTATTAACTTCACGAGTTTCATTTTAGACTAGACAAAAACCTTTTCATAATATAAGAAACAAAGTGTTCAATTCGTTTTATTGTGTGTAACTGACCTAGCACAAAGTCCATGTTTTTGTATTGTATGTAACAGATTTATGTTTGGTTGTAGCCTCTAACATGGTGCTGGAAAACATTGCAATAATGTTTTCCCTAACATGATTCTAAACGACCCTTATCGCTCATCAGATATTTAATATTTCAAGCCGGAAATTGCGTTTTAAATAACGGAAATCGATTCGAACCCTCCCGAGACAGCACTTTAATCATACAAATTGTTTTTCTATCAATTGAAATAATTAGTCGTTTCGAATCATTCCAAAAATTCTAGTCCGTACCCATATTTACTTCTACTAAATGGAAAGTAAATATGACTTGATCCACTTTAATTTCAGTCAAAACTGCCAAAGTTGGAAACTAGCCAAAAATAGAGCAAGTTTTTACTTTAGGAGACAATCAGGGCAACAAAACTGATTCATTTTGAGTAATGTAAAAATTGTGTTCTCGTGTGTTTTCTACAAATAAAAAAAATTATTAATCGTTTGTTTATTTTAAGAATCGTCTTTCAGTTTTATACAAGATTATTACATAATTTAAAGCTCAATTAATTATCTGTCACCATTTTTTCCTCATTTTCGCTGGTAATTTCTAAAAGTCTAGGCCCGTACAAAAGGACATAAGCGCAATGCCAGTCACCTGAAAAAACAAATTACAATCTCACCCCCTCAAACGAAGCCTCACAATACCTCCCCCAGACAGCTTCAAAATATCCTCAGTAGTCACAGGTGACACATTATCATCATCGCACTTTATCCACTTATCTCCCGATTGGCGTACCCACCCCACATAGTGACCACTGGACGAAGACCGCCCCCGATGAGTTAACACAGCCTGAAGGGTATAATATCCGCTATTATTACTCCCTAAATCGTCTTCAAACCAGTAGGGGGCGTATTTTTTATCGGCTTCGTTTATTTTACCGTCACCTTTGTTTTTTTGTTTGTCTTTTGATGCCGCTTCCACTTGTGCGTCCTCCAACTCCTTTTTCACACAATTAAAAACAAGAAGAAAATTAACAAAAACATACCTTAAACTTTGCCCTAACTGGCGCCAGTTTTTCCTGCAATTCGGAAGTACATAAATCGAAAGCATCAAAATCGATCGGGAATTTAACATCTTTGAGAATTTTTGCGTTTATTGATTCTTTTTCCTTGTAGTAGAACCGAACGAACTGGATGGTTAGATAAGCCGGCAATCTACTTATTTTGGACTAAAATTTTTTTTTTTTTTATAAAAAGAATTACAGTTTTTGCTACCTACTGTTTTAATATAAACAGCATCCCTGTCCAATGTTGGGGATTTTTTTGTTATTTGTTCCTGCATTTTCTAAAAAAATTATAGCAAATAAAATAAATTATTATGATCAAGTCCATTGCTAATAAATGACAAATAGTCATTTTGCTCATTTTACTACTAACATAATTGTTTCAACCGATTTTTTTTATTAATAAAAGATAGACAACATACCGATCTCAATCCTGAATGCATATAGCGCACATCCTGCGAAATAAAACAACTCAACTGCAAAAATGATTCCTTATTTTTAGTGACCGGCTCATCTTCCGTTTCCGTACACTTCAATTCAACTTCAAAAGTTCCACCAAAAAACTGATCAACCAACGATCTGAAATTCAAATGTAGCACTACCAATTCAAAAAATTAATTTTATTATGTATACTTAAACTTTTCCACTGCATTTCCACCATTTTGTTTCGCGGGCAATTTTTGCTGCAACATTCTAATTAACTCAGTCCAACACTCGTTGGCGTCCTAGAAAAATAAATGATTCTTTGTGACTGTTGATGTTTAGGGGAAAAACCTGTTGTGTAAAACCGCCATGTTCATTTTTTTCTGCGAATCTAGGAAACGCCATGTGGAGCATTTGGAGGAGGACTATGGGAGGAACATTGTTTCCCTTATCCATGGAGGAGTATAGATCACGCAACGCTGCTGTAATTGACTGAGCGGGAATTACGCCCCCTGCGTCAGTTACTTCTGTAAACACATTTTAATTACATTTGCTTATGTGAGGTAAAGTTGGTACCTCCTTGATAAGCTTGGAGGGCTTCACGCAATTCAGGAACTGACTTTAAACACTGAACTGTGGCATTCATGTAACATGTGTTTCCTAAATTTGTTAAACCAGCAGGAAGTTCCAACTAAAATAATCAAAGTTACAAAAAAATACCAAGGTTTTAGTAACTTACAGCTGTGGCCAATTCACTTTCATTCATATCTTCCACAAAAACGGTTTTTTCAACAGGTTCTTTTGGCACGTCTTCTTCCTTACTCCCCATTAATAAAACAGTAACCCCCTACACAAAATTAGTAAATTAATAACACAAGGAATTCAATTTTGCTTACATCCTTCAATTTAAAGTTATCCCAATCAGCATCTTTCAAAGTCACCCCTTTTATCATGACTTTCTGTCTTTCAGGTTGCACCCCCGTGAGAGCAAACAATTGAGCCTTAAATAGCATCGGAGATTCATCCGTATTCACTTCAATATCAGGGTAGGACTCCTTACCCCATTTAACTTTAACTATAAAAGTATTTAAAGGTTAAGTGATTTTTTCTTAAATGAAACTCACCCTTGTATTGTGGCATAGCTTACTAACACTAAGTTTCAATACAAAAGTAAAAACTGACAAGAAAATACGAGTAGATTATTTAACAGATACGAAAATTGCTTTGCCGGAACCGCAAAAATGCTTGATTATGGATGACAAGCAAGAAAATTTAATGGCAACACTGAATCTAGTTACTTCTCTGTCAAGTTATTGTAAAAAGAGATAGAAAAGCAAAGAAACACGTATGTTAAAGTGAAAAAGCAACTTATAATTGCTGGGTTAAAAACCTCAATTTTCACATGATTAAAGGAATGCGCTGTATTGCAATTTCACTTAAGGTTTATTTTAGTCCAAATAATAATTACATTGGTGCCAACCCGCTTCTCTAGTGTTTTCTTGTTTCCCGCTGTTGTCAACCTTGGTAGGCGAAAGTTTCTATCATTCGTGATAGGAAAAGTGCACTTTTCCAGTGTTGTTCCGCGATTCCCGTCTGAAATCGTGATGGGTTTCGTTATTTAGTAACGGTACGGCTTCTACGTGACTGCATAAATGTATTTAATTTACTTTCAACGTAATCGAATCGAAAAACAACGAAGCACATAATAATCAAGTGGCCAGTGTTTGTGATGGTGGTTGGATTGTTGTGACAAGTGAAGTGTAGATTAAAAAATGGGAAATTGTCTCAGTAGTCCTTCGAATAATGACCGGATAGACAGAAACAGGGAGAGGCTGGGCGTGAATGCCATCGAGGACACCAGCCTGCCTTCCAACCCCATGCCCACGCCCCCCTCGGAAGTGGTACGGCCTGCGGTGGTCAACCCGGAACCCGAGACCACCAATGCCAAAATTTTTGTGGCTCTGTATGACTACGACGCGAGGACTGATGAAGATTTGAGTTTCAGAAAAGGGGAGCATTTGGAGATTTTGAATGATACACAGGGTGACTGGTGGCTGGCGAGGAGCAAAAGGACTAGACAGGAAGGGTATATCCCTTCGAATTATGTGGCCAAGTTGAAGAGTATTGAGGCAGAACCGTAAGTATACTAAAAAGAACACTAGGATATTTTCTAGACCGTAGAAAGCACATTTTTTGAAATACTGGGAAAGCAGTTGCAATTGATTGCCATTTAATGAGCCGATTCATTCACACTTGTATGTACTTAAAAAGATGGTAATTAGTTTAAGAAATTTAACACGAATTGTGTAGTATTTACTGTCGTGACATAAATCGGGATAAAATGTTTTGTCATCTTTGCTTTGCAGTATACACATCTAGGGACTTGGATTTATTCATTATCTCTTTATTTTAAAAAGGTAAATGAAAACTAAAGTAATGTGAACATTGGACTTTCAAAATTAACCATTAAAACGCTTTTGCAGTGAGAGTTTTATCAAGTGAGATTTAATGAACATCTGATTAAGATTGTTATAGTACTTGCGTCTGTAAATACAACTAAGAAAATTGGAACAGAGAATTACATCTAAAAAAGTTTGATAGAGAGTTTTATTTATTAAAAAATCTCTACTGATAAAATAATTATAATAAACACCAATTATTTGATATTTTGGCTTGTACCACTTTATTAAATGACATGTTTAGGCTGTCACAGACTCGGTGGGGGTAGAAATGGTAAAATTATTTCTTTGCGAAATTGATTCTTGTATTTTTTGCTCACTGACAAAATAATCATAAGTAAATTAGTAAATTGTATTTTGAAAACCTGGATTAATTTATTAAATGTTTGCTCTATTTTTATCAATGTAATGCGATGTAAAGGATTATTGTCAGGAATTATAATTTGCGTGATTAATTCATCCACCCTACCCGAGGACTTAACTTTTAATAATCTCATCGAGCAAATAATAATTTTTAAAATGGTTTGCGTAGGAGGGGTGCATTCATTTTTAAATCTCGTTGATCAGACTCCAATTTATATAAAAATCTGACGTCACTTTAACTATACTCAAACATTCATTAGTCAAAAAATACTATTTTGATTTGATGAGAGATAGAACACATCACAGAGAAATTGTTACGTATTCTCTATTGGAAGATGCGGGCGTACCAAATAATTTTTTTGTCTTATCTCAAACTGCAAAGTATTTGCAAAAGTAGTAAAAAATGAGAGTTTCGAACGATTATCGCTACTGTAAAAAATGAGCGATAAATTGATAACCACCTGATTGTTTATAAACTTATTCTTAAATATTATTTAATCAAGAAATAGATATAAGGCTTGATTTCATTTAATTTGGTTTAATGTGCGTTCTTTTGTCGTCGATGAAAATGACTATTGTCCCAAGTATGGAACATTGTTGGATTGTTGCCTTTCAAATTCAAACTTCCATATTGGTTATGTAAGCGGTAATGAGAGATTTTGAATAGTTTTGCCGATATTATATATCCCTAAAAATACTTTCTGTATTTAATTTAATATATACCAGTTCACCTAAAATATCTTTGTGATAATAAATTCATTTTACGAATTGTTATCATTTTTTTATTGAAACGTATTAAGAATGATTTATATGTAGATATACACAAATATAATATTATCAACTTTTATATATGGAAATAATCCACAAAAATGTGTTGATTATTTTAACAAATCCTGAATTAATACCCTGGCGCACTAGATTGTAGTAATTTTTTATTTACAAGCAATAATCACTTTTTGGAGTTGTTTAACTTTCCAACATTATTTCAAACATTATTTGATGTAAAATGCTCGTAAGTTGTGCAACAAGTAACGGTGGCAGGCAAAACAAGACGTTAATTTGAATAAGGTCAATCTGCAAAAGTGAAATAGTCGGCCTTCGAATATTTCTTCCGCTTTATAACATTAAAATTGTTATTTAACAGTAATTACATTATGCAACTACGAACACGTTGCATGGTTGGTTGCCTACCCACACGCCCTGTAAATTGGAATGAAGGGAGGTTTTATGCGAAACTGGAATATGTAGGTGGCTGCACTGGGATAAAATTAGATTTCGTTTAATCACTTATGGAACTAATTTTAATTTTTAATTGCTAAAATAATTTATATAATTTTGTAAGATTGCAATAATTTATGAGTTACGAAATCGATTAAATTCACTCATTTGTGGCAAAAGAACTAACTGTGCAAGACATTTATGTCAAGGTTTGGTCGTTATAAAATGTCGACGAAATTTTATATTGACCATTAGGAAGTTTGGCAGACAACACCAGAGGGTCATACACGAGTCATTCAAGTTCTGGTCGAACTTTCTTTTTTGTCAACGTGTCTGCATTGCAGAAGATGTATCGGTTTTGGTTCTCGAAGGTTCGATTAAAAAAACATTGCAAAATTCTCCTCGAGCTGGATTAATTGGGTGCGTTGGGCGTGCAAGAATCGCATCTTTTTACCGATTACGTGCTCCAGGCGAAACCAAGGACGCTGGTCGTTCACTCCGCGACCTTTCAAGTTCGTCGAGAGAATTTAATGCTACTTGTGGAAATATTGTTTGACCCAGAAAATAGTTTTTTTCGAAATATATTTACTAATAATTTCGTGGAACCGAAAGGTTTTGGATCGTATGAATTTTATGTCATATTCGGTGGTTCAATGAAATGAGGAATGCCGTCAAGAATATTATTCTTTACGACTGTCATTCAATTTCAGAGGTGAAAAAACCTATCGATTATAAATTGGCGAAAAAACTAGTTTGTGTCTCGTGATATCCTAAAAGGAAGAAATTAAGATGCTCCTTGACATTCTATCGATGACCTTTAAAGTCGAATTGACTTTGTAATTGAATTGAAAAAAGGCTTTAGAAAGCAAAAATTACAGTTATTTAAGCAAAAAAGAAGTTCATATGGGTTTATTTAAGTTCAGCTTTAGAACCATGACCTTTTCTCTTGTGCATTTTTTCGTTCTAATTATCGTAATTATGTTTTTATTTCTTTCATGTTGAACTGGTTTTACAGCTTTTTTCCTATTGTTACAAGTCGCCACAACACTAATCACATAATTGACGTAACAATTCAAAACTTCTTAAACTTCTTAAACGCAATCGACAAATTTTTGAGTCATAAGTGGTGTTTAACTGTTTTTTAAAACAGTTGTAAAAGAACTTAAAATAAAAAAAACATTATTTATTAATAAAATTGAAGTTATTTGTGATATTTTTTTGTGCAATTGAAACTATAGACAGACATTATTTTTTGTTTATTCAAATACTCATTCTAATTACGTAAGTACAAGTAACCGAAATCCTAAAATTATTGTTACTTTAATTAATATTTGTTTCTGTGAAAATCCTTGACAGTGAGTCTTTCTAATTAATTTTATTAGAACATTCTCAAGACATTTAATGATATTATGTATTTATAATTAGAAGAAGCAATAAATAAATATTTGTCAGTTATTAATATTTGTGTCTGGTTAACTTAATGTGATTCATGTTCTAAAGCTCTTAATGGAATAATATTAGACTCATGCAAGGTATAAGTTTTATTATTTTCTTGGAAATACTTTTTTGTTTATGAAATCGCGTTAATAATTTATGTCAAGAAAATAGAGTAATGAGAATTACAAGTAAAACATTTTGAAATCTTCTTAAAATTGTGACGTCTGGGTTAGCCCCACAGAATCTCTTCGATGAAATTTTAGAGCAGAAACCTTGAGAGAGCAGTTGCGTAAGCTGCATTTCTGCACTAGAAAATCTTGAGAATAGGCGAAAAAGGCTTCTCGGGGGCCGACCAAAAAGGTCACTTAAATAATTCAAACGAAAATGATTTCCTGTCCCAGTGACCCTTCCTCAAACCGCCCTTGAAAATTCTCATCGACATAAATGGGGCAAATCAGCAAAGACGGGTACAGTTTTCTCAGTACCGTACATCTCTGTGGCAGCCCCACCAAGCTATTGCTTAGTCCTCAGCAATAACAATCAGTTGTCGCGTTCACCTGTTGCAGTGCAGTGTGAAAAGTGTGCCCACGAATTTTCAGTTTCAGTGCGTATTCTAGGTCGGTCTTGTGAAAAGAAATTATTTCAATGAACTAGATTTTGAAAAATTATTAGATATCTCCATTATTGCACGTGGTTTTTGGTAAAAATTATTTTTTCAAGTCCAAAGTTGAACGACTGGATACCGTTGTGCGGAGAATTTCGTTTTTGATGGTCACGTCTTTAGCATTGTAATTCAGTCATTGTTTCACTTTTTCT